CGGCGGAGCCCGGACGGGGCGTCCCGGTAAAGGCCGCCGTGACTCGTCGGGGCTCCTCGGTTCTCCCGGCCGCCCTGGGCCGCGGAGACGCTGGTTCGCCTGCTCTGGGCGGCCGCGGAGGGCTTCGCTCGGCCGGCAGCGCCGTCGGTCAGTACCGGGAGCCGGCGGCGCCGAGCGCGGCGCTGCCCGCAGCGGAGCGGCCGGACCCGCCGGGGAGCCGGGCTGGAGGGCAGCGGGGCGCTGCCCTGCCTAGGGCCGCCGCTTCACGGGGGTCCCCGTTAAGAAAAGCCTCCAGGCAGGGGAGCGCTGGAGCTCCCCGCAGACGCTCCCGGCCCGCAGCCGTCTGTCCGTGCCCCGCGGGGCGGCGGAGCGGGCCAGCCCCGCTCAGACGTAATTCTTCTTGTCGTACTCGCCGTTGGACGTGGGCCGCCGCGGCGCCGAGTACTTGACGGGGAAGGAGGTCTCGTCGCGCTGGGAGCAGGAGCAGCAGCAGATGAGGCAGCCCCCGAAGAGCAGCAGGGCCGTGGCCGCCCAGCCGATGTAGAGCGCGGCCCCCATCTCCCGCTTCTGGGACGACGGCACGGTGGGGTCGTAGAAGTCGCTGATGACGATGTTGGCGAACCAGCAGAGCGGGATGAGGACCAGGACCCCGCAGAGGATGTAGATGGCCCCGCCGGCGATCACGATGCGGGACTTCATCTTGCCGGGCCGGATGCAGTTGGTGCACTGCGCGCCCACCACGGTCACCATCAGCGCCACCAGCCCCAGCAGTGCCACGATGACGGTGAGCGCCCGGCCCGCCTGCACCTCGGGCGGCAGCGCCAGGATGGAGTCGTACACCTTGCACTGCATCTGCCCCGTGCTCTGCACCACGCAGTTCATCCACAGCCCTTCCCAGATGGTCTGCGCCACCACGATGTTCACGTCGATGAAGGCCGACACCTGCCACATGGGCAACCCGCAGGCCAGGATCACCCCCACCCAGCCCAGGACGCCCAGTCCCAGCCCCAAGATTTCCACCGCCGCCGAAGTCATGGTGCTGCCAGCGCTGTCCCACGGGCTCCGCAGGAAGGAAGGCGCGGCGGCTCCGCTGCGCTGCCCCGGGCGCTGCCGAGCCGGCTCTGAGCGCCGCGGCCGCGGGCAGGGCTATATGAGGAGCCGCGGGGCGCCCGCCCTCCGCCCCCGGCCCGCCCGGCCCTGCCCCGCCGGGCAGCAGCACCGCCCGCCGCGGGCCGGGGCCGGGGGCGGTGTCCGGCCCTCCCTCCTGCTCGGGGGTCCCCACCGGAGCCGGGAAACTTCGCTCTGCTCTCCCCGGCACCCCGCTCCGGGAGGAGCTCGCAGGGACGCTGCCCGTCCCGAGTTAAGCGTGGGGCGGGAGGCATCTCGTCTCGGATTTCGGCTGCTCAAATTCCTTTTAGTGCCGTTATCTGTGAATTTCCTATTTACTGATAAAGTCCGCAGCCAGACCTTCGGAGAGGTCTTGCCAATACAGGCACCCAGCAGTGTGAAAGTTCTGGTTATCTATCTGGAGTCTAATTGATAATTTTTCACAAGTCTAAGCACTGATGGAGAGGCACAGCTCCCTCCTGCACACTGTGTCAGGCAAATATTAAAAAAACGGCGTCAAACGCTTAGGAGCCACCCAGAAAATAGAAGAGCCTTGGATATGGGATCTGCATGTCACCTGTCAGTACCAGTAGGCAGATTCTTAGATAGGTCCAGGAAAAATAACTGCTCTTAGCTTACACCAGGGATGAGACTGTTTGCTTCTGAAGCCAAGAGCAAGGTATACAATTTAAACATGTTTTCACAAAGATTCCAAACTGGACTTTATTGTTTCAATTGTTCCAGTACTGTTGAATCTTTATGATAGGTTAAGGAGTTAAATGCCCATGTCAAAATTGCTGTATTTGCAAGGGATTTTATCATCAGGCCGGGCAAATGTAATTGCTACAGTCTCTTCATGGACCACTGGTGTCCTGGATTGTTCTTGCAAAGTAGCCTTGGTTCAGCCCCTGCAGCCAGCAGCTGGTCTCAGCCCCCCAAAGCTGGCAGATGCAGGGAGTGTTGTGGTGTGAATGCTGCAGTTACAGCAGCTGGAGAAAGAGGACAGACCTCATCAGCTGCCTCACAGAACGCACAAGGGGCTGTGCCCCAGTGGCTTTGCACTGGGGGTCTTGAGAAGGGCTTTTTGATTGCAGTAGGTTTAAATGTGTTAGACAAAATTGAAAGTTATATTCACTGCAACTTTTGAATTGGTCTGACTAGATTTAGTTTCAGTTAGCCCAAAGTGTCCTTCCAGTGTAGAGGAGATTGCAGAGTTGAAATGAACACATTTCCTCCCCCTGGATAAGTGGTTTTCTCTGTTGTACAAAAATGCACAGCACATCTTGTGGCATGCAGAGGTTTGTGATCCAAATCTTAAGACTGATATGAATGCAGCATGAATGGAAAAGTGCACATGTGAGGAAGAAGCAGCAGAAGAAAGAATAAGCAAAAGTTAAAGGAATCACATGGATTGCCAGCTGAGGATGTGATGGCTGAAGTAACAGAGCAATGCCCTGCGCACCTCCTGACAGGTGACTTCAGCAGAGGACCCCAGTGTAGTAACAGGAGGATGACAACAAAGTCACAGCACACTGAATAAGGCCTTTCACTTCCTTTTTTTAATAACCAGAAGATGAATTTTAGCCGCAAAATACCCAAATAGCCACAAGACACCCAAAAAAAGAAGTACAAGAATATCAGGAGCTTGTGGGCCATCATGAAGTTGGACATGCGGACACGTGATGACTGCAGCCTTTTGATTATCTCTTCCTGAGGAGCTGTAAACTATTCTAGCATGGAAAATGTCTTCCTAACAAAGAATGCCTGGTAAACAGAGCTCAGAGGATTTATCTCCTCTTCCAGTTGTATATAAAATACATACAGTTTACTTCAATTATTCAAAACTGCAAATTCCAGTGTGCAAGTCCAGGAGGAATGTGTGACTGGGGCTGTGCAGTTTGTCAAACTGGGGCTGCTTACAATCACTCAGAAGAGTCCCTGGTGTCAGGGAGAGGAGAATGTGCAAAAAATCCATCCACAGAGACAGAGATATCTCAGAGGTGAACAGGAAGAAACCCAGATCACAGTCTGAAACTGAATAACATCTGTATTTATGATGATAATAATGATTATATAGAAAACAGCACAGAAGAACAATTAAGAAAGGGGGGAGAAATGCCAGTTATCTTAGCCCATAAGCACAGGAAAGCCCCACCCTTGCCACTTGCCCGGGAGCACGGAACTCTGAGTTTCCTTCCATACACGGCCTGTGTGTGCTCCTGTGCTGGCTGGGAGGCACTCAAGGGGCCAGTGCAGCTGCCTGGGTCATTGGGCTGAGAAGGGAAACCAGCCCATGGCTTGTTTTACCTCTGCAAGCCTCAGCCCACCTTCCTTTGCTACCTGTAACCCAGCAACAGATTCCTACAAATCACTTAATCCAAGGCAATTATTTCTCTTGGGAAATTCATGCTTAATAATCACAGGGCAACAGAACCTTTCTGCTTAGAGGCATTTCCATTCCTGGTATTTCACTTTTGTCTGTTTCTTTTCATAACCCCAGATATTAGCTTTTATCCTGGTTACTGGCAACAACCTCCATTTTTAATTACTTTATTCCTTGATCCTAAAAGTTTGTTGCACAGGCTACCTTTAATGAGACCACCGGTGCAAGGTGCTCACAGGTTTGCTTACTTGACTTACTGCTGTCTTGACTGACACAGCAGCTTCAGCATGGTGTGGTTTCTGATGGTGTTAATGTCAAAACACTGGAAATGAAACTCCCAGAAATGAAAAGGTTCTACTTTCTTAAAAGGAAATACAAATCAGCATGATGTTTTATTTGGGGTGTTAAGTAAAGAAAATCCCTCCTTTTAAGTTAAACCCTCGCTGGAAAGGTCTGAATTCCTTTAAACTGAAAGGCATGATGCTCTTACAGCAAAGTAGCTGTTTAACAAATGACCATTCCTGTCATTACATCTATTTCTGCTTCAGCTATGTATTAATTAAATTATTCTAAGGGGATACTTAGGGGGGCTTTACAGCCTGTGAAAATGGGCGGAAGTGGTATTCAAGCTGAGAACAATTGCACAGGAGCCATACTATAGCAAGAGGGGCTCTGGGATTAGAGGTGATTGTGTTTTTGCTCCTTTCCTGACAATCAGGACAAACACCAGGCACAGAGTTACTGGGAGGGCTGCTAATGGGGGGTCCAGGCTCTCACCAGCATTGCTTGTGCTGGTGCATGAACCCCGTCCCATGGCACAGAGCTGCTGTGCCCAGCCCCTCCAGCCTTGCCAGGGCTTTGCTCAGCCCCAGGCCTCCCACAGCAATGTTTGGATAGATTTGCCTTTGGGGACCTGAAACGTAGTGTGCAGAGCACACTTGGTTTATAATTTGTGGAGTGTCCCTTACCTAAGTGCTTCTGCTCTTTCTAACCCCTATAATATTAAGCATCTGGAAGACAGAGGGGAAAATGACATTTGGGATCAATCTTATGCACAAACCTCGTATTGTTTGTGTGAATAAGATGGAGTATGAGTCAAAAGATTAATTAAAAGCTCAATGATCTCGAGACAGCTTACCATAACTTTTGGATCAGACATAAGCAAAGGTGAAGAATTAGGAATCCTATTAGAGATTGATTTTGTGCCATATTTTGTATTCTAATTAGTGCTGAAATAAAGGCAGGGAGATTTACAAACACAGAGGGGTTAGGCAAAGGCTGTTCTTTATTTAGAAAGCCTGAGGTTTCTCAGAGAAGATTATTTCTTTCTGAATTTTCCTTTAAAATGCAAAAGAATTTCCCAACAGAAGAGATTCCATACTAGGATAAGGTTCCAGGAAGTTCTTGTGTGTCAGCAGTGCCAACGTGTCTTCAGTGTAACACATCACAAGACTGGCACATAGGAAATGAGTTCTTGTCAAATGAGCAGGTTATTACAAAATGAAAGTGCTCAATTTCACCACAGGATTTATTTCAGGATCAGTTATTTCAGAAACGAGCTGAAGTGGTTAACATGAAATTGCCACTTCTTCTCTTAGATCATCTTTTGAGCAAAAACAAAATCAGACCAGAATTTTGCAAGAACAATTAGTGTTCTCAGTGGCTGATGCTAATGATGCACAATCCAACACTTTTTTTAGTTCAAGCATTGCTGCTGGCCCTCAGGATTGAGAAATGGATGCCCTGTTCCCTCCCAGTGGTGATGTGACTAAACTCAGGTAAAAGAAAGGAAGGAAATGGATATATGTAGCTGGAAAAACACTGAAAGAAGTTATAAATGTGCTTCCAGCCTTCATTATTTGCTGCTGCAGATTCCTTTCCAGACTCAGTGGCTCTAGCCCTGTATCAGGCTCTACTCTTTCCACACACACTCTGCCCTGGTGCAGCCAGGACTACACATGGTGGGAATGCTGAGACAGTGTTACAGGTACTTTCCTCATTGAATGAGGAAAACAATAGTGGTAAACCATCATTAGAACTAAGTTCCACATCCCCCCTCTTGAATTTCTATGCACATAAACTTCTGGAGCAGGATTCACAACTTCCCAGTGTTGGAATTGATTTTCATGTCTCTCTGTTAAAGCATGCCCTGCAGAGAACATTTCCAGTCAGCTCAGTCAGGACCAGCTGGGCTGCACTGGTGAGCTGCTGAGCACTCAACCCTTCAGCACCTTCTTTTCTGGATTTAGCTTTGCAGAGAACACTGTGGTGTCACTAGACAGCCGTAACCCCATGTTAATGGTGTTCCAGGGCAGTAAATATGGGCAATGGAGGCCCTTTCCCAAAGTTTAAAATGTCATGTAGATGAGTTTGATTATCCCACTCATCAGAAGATCTCACTGAATATGTGCTTAGGCCATGCCACTTTAAATAGTTCTCTTTAATGCTATGGACAGATCTTGAGAACATAACATATTAAAGCTTGGATAGGCAGGATGGGGGGAAGCTATAGGAAATCCACATTGTTTCATGCCTAATGGTCCATTCTACATCATGTTTCCTTCAGGAGAACTATAGTTTAATTTTGTCCTTTTCCAGAGTTAGCCTCCTTCCACAGATTGTGGTGTACCAGGACCCTGGTAGATCTCTTTCCCATGTAATTCTTGGGAAATCAGATGAGATGTCACTTTGTAAAGAGCAGCGTCAGCCAGGACAAATGCCATTGTTTTAAATATACATTGCAGATGTTGAAAGTAATTAGTAAACACATGACCATGAAGTTACTGAAAACTATTCAGGGTTAGTGATGGGAAACACACTACATTTATCTCTTGTCTGAAGATTTGTGCATTGCTGAGAAGATGTGGGGGGTTTGGGACACCTCTTCTCAGCAGTGCAGCCCCACCACATCTGGGGCAAGCTCTGCTTTCGGGAATAACGCACATCTGCTTGGTCAATCCTGACTTCCTTCCTAAAGGGAATTTTGTTTCCAGTAAGAGGAAAGGGTGACTGTTATTGCTGGAAAGATGCAAAATGTCTCTTATACTGGAGAATATTTGTAGGCTTTTCTTATTGCTTCTTTATTGCCATAAGTAGCATCTTGAAAAAGAGGGCTTGTATGTGCTGGTAAATGCAAAAGAAACACTTCTGTTCCTCTGAGACTACTATAAATCAAATATAATCTTCATTTCCTGTAGTGTGTCACTGAAAATGAGGCTTGGACGTTCTTTGCAGCAAGGGAAAATACTTATCTGTTGCAGATTTTCTTGTAAAGCAGCTTGTGTCTGTAAATCCTGGTGCATGGACAGATAGTGGCTTCCTGTTCCTACCCTGCCCAGGCTCCAGCTCTGAGCTGTAGGTCTCAGAAGAGCTCATCAGTGACAACAGCTTTCATGGACCTGAAAGTTCTGATTCCTGATGCAGCATGTCTGCAAAAATGAGGAAATTTGAGATGTTAGAATGGTTTATCCCATTGGTGACTACACAGACAAAGCCCTACACAAAAGAGTATTTTGATCAAATCAATGGGAACTTCACCCCTAAATTTCTGTCTTTCAGCACACCCAAATCCTACAAATTAACCCAGGGAATATCTAAATTACTTGATCTGACATTCCCACCAGCTACATTAAAAGTTTTTTTTTTTCTCTCCTAATCCTTTAAAAGAGGATGTCACCCACAGTGTGCAGCAGATTTATTCCTAAAAGGTTTGGATCTGGAGCCATGTACTGTACTGTAACTTGGCAAAGCATACACAAATACTTTGAATCAAACACAAACTGAAATCTTATGGAAAATAAAAGGATTTATGTACATGATTAAGTTGTTTAATCAGCCCATGGGCAATTTTATCTGCAGAGAGATTTGGGAGAGTTCAAGATGCTCAGTGTCTTACAGTCCTGAGTCAATATGACCATGATTCGATGATTTTATAGTGCAGCCATTAATTACAGCAATCACACAGAATTTTAGGCTCAAACCCAAACATTCATCTATGTGAGGAAAAGACTTCACTGAAATAAAATTAAGTTAAAAGGGATCTCACAACTGAAAAATAAAAACTGTTTTATGCAGCATATCTTAAGGAAACTAATGCTGAGGAATGTGGAGTTGGTTTACCTATTAAAACTCCATTTAGGTTTCAGTTTATGGCTGTATTTATTTTCTTATAATCAGTATCACCATTTTCTCTGGTAAGAACTGGAACAAAAGACACATGATGTGTTTTGCTGAATGTATGAGGTATTTCTGATTTACCAAGATGTGACTCTACACAAAGTTAAGATTTGAATTCAAGGAAGCACTTTTGTGCTTTTGATAATGTAAACCCTGATGTATCAGGAACTTCAAGAAAAAGCATTGGAACTTCCAAGGGAAAAACGAAACAAAATTCTTTCAAAAATAGTAATTCTGGGAATGAGTGATTCACAGTCAGGCTGCTGTTCACAGCATGAACATTTCTAGACTATTTAACCAGTGTTCCTCAGTACAAGCACTTCTGCTTGCACCTCTGCTAATATTGGTGTGAAAAATAAAAAACATGCAGCATGTGTTTGGGGGGGCTGCATTTGCTGTAGGTGTCTGCAGTGCAGCATTTCTCAGCCACACACCCAAAACAATTCCAGTTCTATTGCCTGGGAACTGCACTTTCATAACCAGTCTCATAACAGGTTTCAAAGGTAACAAAAGTACATTTTCATCAAGCGAGTAACACTCATTGTCACAGGATGCTCTTTAATGCCAGAAGTTGGGATGGGTTCAAAAAGCAAGAAGAAAAATTCATGGAAGAGAGAACCATCAAGATAAAACTTCTGGCTCAGGAAGCTGCTGAGCTGCAGATGGCTGGAATCTGGGAGGATACACAGGCACGGTGCTGCTTTTATCTTTTCCTTAGCATCTGCTCCTGGGCACTGCAGAGGGAGGGCACTGCTAGGACTGACCTCTGCTCTCACCCCAGGTGCCCTTCCTTACATCACTTTCTGGGACTTCTTTGGAAGGGTTGTGGCTTCCCTGAACATTTTGTGTGACAATTGGTCAGCGGTCCGATTCAGCCATGACTTGGGAAAATCATTGCCTCGATAGCAAAGGATTTGAAATTTCTGGAGACTCTTTCACCCCTTGCACTAAATCCTACCAAAGGAAAGGGACAGTCATGGGAAAGCACTAGCTTCCACCTGTCTCTGTGTTGATGGCAGTCTGTAGCTTGGCATCGTCTGTGCCAGTTTCTTACAATTTCTTCAGATACTAAGCAGCTGTTTGTAATAGCAGTGCATGTGTGCAAAATCTTGTGTCCACCACAGTGTTCTAATTTAGTGAAAGAAAAACTGCCACAGTTGTTTCTATGGTGATAGTATAAAACACCTATATGGAAATCCATGGAATAATTTAAAATAAAACCTTAATGTCTAAGGAAGACTGAAATGCCATCTTTTAACTCCTCCAGGAAGGAAGTGTGAATCAGAACTTTGAGTTATAACATCACATTTTGTCCTAGGAAATGGAGCTTGCTTGTGCTTTCACTGGCTTTTATCTTGTTCTTACTCAGATCCCATCAATGCTCAGTTGATAATATGAGCACAATGTGAATTGCAGATAATGCCAGTCTGCCTTCAGCAGCATTTGTTTCATTTCCAGATTTTCCTGTTGAAAGCTGCAACCCTGTTTGCTTAATGGATGGCAATGCAGACATAACAGAAATGTGCTTCTTGGTATTCAGAATTTTAAGTCAAAAGATTTGTTGGTGGGTCACATACACAAACTGTCCTCTCAAAATGTGTGGATAGATGTCCAGGAACTTTCCTGAGCACAGTTCTTGAAGCTGGAAGGTTGGAAAAAGCTTTTCCAGTACTTCAGCTAAAATGTATTTTAGTTTTGACAGTGTTGGGTTTAGAGTTTGGGCAATGTAACAATGTTTCCCCATGAGAAAGTGATCTGTGTCTGTAATCTAACTGTGGGAATCACTGACACTCCTGCTGGAGTCCCTGACACCTCCGAGGGCTCGCAGGGCAATCCCAGCCGGGCATCTCACCCGGGCAATCCCACCGGGCAATCCCACCCAGGGAATCCCGCCCGGGCAATCCCACCCGGGCATCCCACCAGGGAATCCCAGCGGGCAATCCCACCCGGGCATCTCACCCGGAGAATCCCACCAGGGAATCCCAGCCGGGCAATCCCAGCCGGACATCTCACCCGGGCAATCCCACCCGGGCAATCCCACCCAGGGAATCCCACCCGGGCAATCCCACCAGGCAATCCCACCAGGCAATCCCACCCGGGCAATCCCAGCCGGACATCTCACCCGGGCAATCCCACCCGGCAATCCCCCCCGGGCAATCCCACCCGGGCAATCCCACCCGGGCAATCCCACCGGGCAATCCCGCCCGGCCCTGCCGCGGTGACAGCGGCCGAGGCTCGCACAGAGCAGAGGGAGAGCCTGACGGGAGGGGACAGTGTAAGTGAACAAACACCGGGGATTCTTTGTACAATGTTCGGGAGAGGAATTTGCTTCTGGTGTGAACGAGCATCTGCAAACCAGCCAGGCTGGTGCTACACTGCATTACAGTCAAACAGCACGAAGTTTAAGCTGCATTTCCCCCCGGCTATCACACCAGCCATGTTTACCACTGAGGAGTATCGATAAACCCGCTGTAAATGGAGCAATCCCAAAACTCAACGATGTTTGGGTGGCAAACAAAACCAAACCGTTCCGTGTAGATGCGGCACTTGTGAACACGGTTCGGCAGCGGCCCCGGCCCGCGGGCCGCCATGGCCGCGCGCCGTGGGGCGGGCGGGGGACGCTCTGTCCCTCCTCTCGCTGCTCCCGGGGCCGCCTCTCGCCGCTGTCTCCGGCAGGGCGCGGACCATAGAGTGGCGCGGGGTAGGCGGGCGCTCCGCCGCGGTGGCTGCTGGGATGCGGGAGGGCTGCGGGGCGGAGCGGCGGATCGCGGCCTGGCGGCGGGAGCGGCCGCGGCCTCAGGTGAGCGCGGGGAAGGGGCCGCGTCCCCGGTCCGGCGGCGCCGCCGCCCCCGCGGCGCTGCAGCGGCTCCCCGTGCCGGGCACAGCCTCGGCCCCCGCCGCCGTGTGCGGGCAGGGCTGTGCAGCCGCTGTGTGGGGACGGGAGAGGTGCAGCCGCGGCAGGAGCCCCGGGACGCCGCGGTGGGGCCGTTTCGGGCTCACCTTGATGTGTTTTTAAAGCAAGGCGGGATTAATTTGAGATGCGGACGGGCCCGCGCTGCTGGGGCAGCCGGAGATGCAGGAGGGGATGGAGCAGGAAGTGCTGTCTCCACCAGGCATTCCTCGGATGCTTTTAAAATTGCGGCACCCACCGGGGCGGTGCGGCTGCCGGGGCCGGGGGTGCGGCGGGGCACTGGAGCGGGGACAGCACCCAACCCCAGCTTTGCTCTTTTTGTCGTTAATTACTGCTCGTAGGTCAGAGACTTCATGGTATCGTGAGACTTAAGCATGACTTGGAAATGATTTAAACACAAACGTACCAGTTTGCTGTGCGTTGGCAGTATGTACACAGTTATACTTGAGTTCTGAGGGTGTGAGGCAGAGCTGCCTATTTCCTGATGAGTAATCGAGTAATATGTTTATCTTTTTAATTAAAAAAAAAAAACCTCCTGTTTTTCACAATTATAGGTCTGTTTAACAGTGCTTTTTGACACAGTAACTCGGCAAAAATACTGTCAAACGCTGCTTGCATGGAAACATCATCCCTAAAACTGGCATGGTATCACTGCCTCCTTTGTGCATTTCAAATAGCTGTTCTCACTGATAAAACACTATGAAAGGAAGTTGTTTAGAGTCATGTGTTAGCATTGAAATGGAGATTTAAATAAAATATTTAAGATTAGAGCCTTAGGTTCATGTGTTGCTTTTTCTTGACCTTTTAAGAATAGTGCTCATACAGATGGTTGAACTCTTGTGTTCCTTCTGCTGTGCATATGTGTGCTGTTGAGTCACAGGCATGTCTCAAATGTTGATGCCTTCCCAGTAGTATTCCCTGTGCAGTTTCCTTGATTCACATACAATCCCAGAAGGAAGTCTGTAGAACTTATGAACTCTGAACATCAGTTCCAAGCCAGAGCAGTGGCTCACACTTAGCGTGGTCTGTCTGCAAAAGTCACATCTGGGTTGTTGCATTTTCTGTAAATTCCTTCTTTGGTGGAAGTGATATAGTCATTTTCCTGAATAAGAGTAAAGCAGAATTGGTAGTGTATAAAAGAGAATTCCTTCAACTGGTAATACCTATTTCTAATGAGCAAAAATGAAGTCACTTGGGATTGTTCATCTGGAGGAGGTTTCCCACAGTAGAGGTGAGGACATGCCAGGAACAAAGCATGGCACACAGAACAGGCTGTGCTGGATACATTTGTTAGAACTCAGTGATTCACTGAATCATGCAGTTTTTTCTATTATTATTGATGTGACTCAGATTTGATATTTCTTCCTTGGGTTTTGTAGTTATTTTAGTGAGAAACCACAAATACTGCTGTTTTACTGGGATATCTTGGTGTTTCTGTCTGCTTTAAGTCTGAAAAGTGACTTCAGAATGCTGATGCTGTTGAGACCATTTCCAGCATTGGGAAACCTGTTCAAGTCTTTACTCCTGTCTGTGGCCACTAAATACTGCCAAAAAACTATCTGAGTTATATAGCCACTGATGGAAGAAAGAAGCCTCATTTGAGACATCAGGAGGGCTGTTCTGCTTGCTGAGATGGTTGTAAGGTCACTCTGAAGTGGTTATTTGAAAATGTTGTCTGGTATCCTTATATGGACACGCTCTTTGTGCATGTTTGTAGTGCTTTCTTTGTGCTGGTTCCTATTGAGAAGCTCCCAGTCTGCCTGTTCCTCACAGTTTACTTCTTGCATCCTGACAGGAACAAAGGAAATGACCCATTTTCCTTCCTCTCTCTTTCTCCCTCACCGGAATACTGCTCTTAGCACAGGACAGTGGGATGGCACGTTCCAGCTGCAGCTGAACTCAGTGGCACTTTGCTCCTTTACATTGCCAGCATCAAATTGTTCAGGATAGGAATTTATTGGAATCCAGAATGAAACTTTGTTGTGTTATCTGCTGTTCAAAACCAGATTTGAACATTCCTATGCTGTAGCACAGTGTCCCTTTCTTTCTGCTGGGCCTGCTAAGTAGAGCCCAGCATTATTTACAGATAAAGTTTCACTGCTTTTTGTAAGTTGTTGCAAATGTATCTTATCTGTTCCTTTCTCCTTGAACTGTTTTGTATGTGCTGTTTTGCATATCTCATACTGATTGAAAGAGTACTTTGAAAATCTAAAGAAAACAGAACAGATACAGTTCTTGCTCTGGTTTGCCTTAGTTGTGGGGATTTTTTTTATCCATTTTGTTCTGGACAATTGATAAGAAATTAGATGCTACAATTTCCAGGTGTGTGAACTCCCCAGAGTGTTGTCAGAGACTCAGCTTCACCTTGGTTTGATGTTGGAGTCAGCTGTGTGCAGCCAGCGCTGTGGGTTTCTGTGCTCACTGATGTGCAACAGGGAGTGCTCCAGCACCAAGCTCTCACCTGTGAGCAGTGCTGAGGTGCTGTGCTTTTTGGTGCTGTGAGAGGATTTAACGGGTGGCATTTTGTTCATTCTGAGCTTTTGATTTGTACTGTGTGGTAGAGCTTTGGGAAGGCAGCACATTACCCGGGGAGGTTTGGTGGAATGATTTTCGAGGAAACCTCATGAGGGCAGTATTAGGAATTGCAAAGTGTCAAGGCTGAGCAACTGAGCTCCCAAATGAACCCAGGCACCTTAAGTGTTGTGGAACAGCAGGTGTTTCTCTGGGGTTTTTTGTTGTTGTTGAGGTAACTTAGCTAGCACATTTCTATTCCAACAAAAGACATTGGGAAATTGCTAACTGGAAGTGTGAGCTGCAGTCATGATGTGATCACAGCAGCTGGGCTGCTGCTTTGCCTACAGCAACTTTTCAGTCAGAGTAAGACACAAGGTGATGTGGTTTGCCTTGTAGGAAACAGGTTTTGTAAGCTGTACTTGTGGAGCAGATAATTTTATGAAAAAAAGTTCTGTATGTGATAACAGACTAACTTTGAAGCTGAATGTGTCATAATCAGTTGATGGCAATTTTGACTCTTGTGCTTTTTAATCAAGTAACTTGAGTAATGCTCCAATGGATGTGACTGTATGGTCAGTTTAAAGTAGAAGTAGGGAATTTGCTGTGCATATTGAAACCTGAATCATTCCCCTGTCTCTCCTTTATCTGTGGACAGAGGGCCTGGGTGACTTCTCTGGCCTTACTGTGAGAAATGGGTCAGGTATATCTACATTGGCACTCAGTAACTACGAGCTTTTCTAAACTCTTGAACTATGTTACTAATTTTATTGACAAGGTGACAACAGAGGTTTCCAAACTTAGAAACAAGATATCAACAGAGTTACTTCAGTGGGATTGTGAGTGTCTTTAAGGATCTGTGACAATGATTGGCTGGAGGCTGGAATGAGCCTTTGCATACTGGTCACAGGAAAAGAAGCTCTGGTTTTCAAAGCCATTCTGAAGGGATGCTTTCCAGAATGTTTTGAGGAATACACAGTTAAGGCTGACAGATGATTAGAATGAGGACCTCCCTATTTTCCATGGCAATGGATGCACTGTGCTTTTGTTAGTACACAAATGAGCTGGGTATGGGGAAAAGTAGTTGAAAGAGGGAAAAAAACAGCTTTCCTTGCTTATAAGGTAGGTGGTACCTGCACAGCTGCCAGGATTTTAAATGCCTGCTGCAGGGCAAATGAAAAACCATGGGAGCTGAAGATCTGTTTTCTTTAGAACTCCAAGTGGCAATTATGCTAACTTCAACTTTTCCTTCAGTCCCGAGCTTGGACTCTGCCAGGATTTGACTGTCAAACTGCCAGTGTCACAAACTGGACTGTATCCTGCTAAAATGACTCCTGCTACCCAACAGGAAGGTCTGAACACACAGGTGCCTGCATAGGTCACTTCCCTACTTTTCCAGGCCAAGAGCTGCATTGTCAACAAACCAAGCTGTGAAGTGCTCCTGCCGCTTCTGCGTTTCCTGTCCCTACTCTGGGGCTGCTCTAAATGAAAGGCCTTTGCTTTTGCCCTGATAACTAATCTATAGCACAGCTAACATCCTTGAGTAAAGAGATAAGGGCTTGCCAAAGTCCAGCTGTTCTGGGTGTCTGGAACTAAAGAACAAATCTCTTTTGATAGCCCTTCACACTGGCATGAATTTTGCGTCCAGCGTGGGTTAGCCAAGTCAGTGTCCTGTTCAGCAAGAGCACTTTGAAGTCACTGAAGATAATGTTATGTTCTGACCCTTACCTGGGAATCATGTAGGTGTCCTGTTCTCATGAGAATTTTTGGATGTGGTAATAATTCTCAAATGTAATGTTTGGACAACATTTGCATTACATTCGCCTATCTCTGTACAATCCTTCTGCAAAGACAGGATGGATGAAAGTTTGTTATGATACTAAATTTTAATATTTTGCATTTTAAAGGATTTTTTCTGTTTTGAAATTTTTAAGTATTTAAATTAAGTACTCCTGTGATTTATTTCAGAAGGAAGACATTTTGATTATGGCTTGTTTGTTCTGGTAATCTTTGAGTATGTGACATTTCATTCTACAAGAATAAAATGTGATTATTATATGCAGTTGATCAGTTCAAAATTAAAAGTAATGTAATCTTCAAGTCAGCTAACATGGCACTATGGCTTTTTTTCTTCCAGTGTCTGAAACTTGAAGTGAAGAAACATGTCTCAGTCAGGTGAAAAAGTAAAGGTAAAGAGATGGCTGCATAGCCAATATTTTGTCTAGAATCTATTCAACTTCTGAAAACATTTATAGTTC